TGTTTGAAGCACGTGCGGCCACAGACAGGTAAATGGAACAGCACACATGAAGAATCTTAAAAAACACTCGTAGACCACCCCGGCTGAGGACCAACCTGAAATCAATTTCTCCATCTCCGTCTTGGTCCAGTCGGGCAACCAATATCTGAATCTGTTCCTCAGTGATAGGAATGGACGTAGCCTGGTGGGACAAAATAACACACCATACAGAAGTACATGTATATTGGTTGAAGAAAAGATTAACCCTATCCGTAACGTCGTGTTTTACTATCGTATCCATACGACGTGAGGAACTCTGTGCCACTACTTTCCAAAGAGGAAATTTACTCGTTAATCCGATCCGTGCGCTTTGCATAGCAATCTGTCAAAATGATTCTTTGAGAAATACTGAAAGTTTCGAAGAGATCTTCGCCCTGGAAGTATTCTAAAATGATAAGAATACAACCCCGGAGGTACAAAATAACCCCAGGGCGTTCGGATAGGGTTAATGTGATATAATATACTGTATCTAGATTTTTTAGTCAGAACACGATGTACATATTTATGCTATTTGCTACCCCACAATTACAAAGTTCTATATCTGCTTAGCACCCAGTTTTAAGAAATTTGACGTAAGAAGTAAAACATTTTGAGCTTCACAATAATCAGTAAAAAGCTTGTTCAAATGCAAGTCTTGGAATATCTTGACAACGACTCCGAATAATCTTACAATTTTGACAGAGTAGATAGGACATTCGGTTTTTGACCTCATGTGAGTCTTTGTAACTCAAAACGGCCAAAAAAATGTCAGATAGAACTTTGTCATTCTGAGGTAGGGAATTTGCGTGTTGCAATTGTAGATTGAACAGGGTGAGTCAAAATTATGTAACAGCCTGTTCCCCTTCTTACGTCCGCGGTTAAAACAAGATGAACACTAATTTGTTCTGTTTAATCTTCTCAGGTCTTTGCATGCGGGTCTAAACACTGGATGGCCAACAATCTAACCACCCATATATAATATCTAATACGTATTAATGAAGGTCACAGCAAACTAAGGTTTTCTCTTCTCTGATATTTTTCCCCTTTCACCTCCTTTCCTGCTCTGCAGCAATGTTCTGTCGTCTGCTTTCGTCTCCTCTTTCTGCCCCACCCCCTCACCTCCTTTGCTCCCTCCTCTGGGCTCCTCTTTCTGCAGCCTTTCTACTGCTACCCCTTGGCTCCTTCTTACTGCTGTCTTTCAGCCACACCCGTGATCATCTGGTAGGAACGATGTACCTACCCTTCTCGGACAAGGTCGAAAAATCTCGGAGGGCCCGTGCGCAAGTTGCGCACGTTAAAGATCCCTTGGTGGTCTAAAATCGATAAGAGTAGGCTTCGACGGCCACCCGGGCAAAATTCAAAACTTTTCTATCAACTGAAAAAGTTTAATTGGTCCCGCGCGTTCATATGACCTCATGCAGTTGCGAGCACCGTAAAACACAAAAAAAACTTTTAAAAAAACTAAACAAACCCCACACATACAAAAAAAACCCTAAGGTTCCGACATGTTCTCTTTGTGGTAAACCTAAAAAATAAAAGATCTAGATCTAGAGGATTTACAGCATACTCCCGAAATATGAAACGTTGACTCATTTTCATCAACAACACACTTTAACGTTAATGCACGCCAATGAAACGTGGTCCATTCGACGGGTGAGTATATTTCGAGACTGACATGGAGACGTCCAGATGGCCTTGACAGGAAAAGTACAAGCTTGCACTGAAATTTGGAGGGCAGGGTGGTGTCGCTATCTCAAAATGAACAATTTGTAGGATTGACTACAGTAAATCATTTAATTCCTTCAAATTATTCCAGTGATTTTGAGCATTGCACCCAAAGGGCGGTTTTTAATGAGACACTTATATAAAATAAACCTGAATGTTTGGTCGCTAGCCTACAGGAGTACCATGCACGGTTAGGTGCATATTACATGTAGATTTATTGGTTAATCAATAAAAGAGCAATATTAAATTTTTTTTTAACGCGGACAGACGAAGGTGAATGAATTATAACACGGGTATGGAAACAGACACCATTGCAGCAACGCAAGACAAAGTGGAGGTCCATGATCGCCCATGCCAGTCGACAAGGCACCGGAGGATGATGATGGGAGCAAAAAAGTTAGAGATATCGATGAACTCAAGGGCAGAATGCAAGGTGTCATATCAAGTATTCCCAACGAGATGTGTGTCAAGAGTGTATTGATCATGCCGGTGACCAGTCCTGTTAATTCTGAACACCCATACTAGTAGTGTTAACACAATTTTGAATCACCTTGTATTTGTAAAGCTCACGAGCCTATGTTTTTTAATCAGAGTTGAACGCAACGGTATCTACATGAGATATTATGGTTAGCCAATCACCGCTGTTTCTGGAAGACGAAAAGGATAATTTTCTAAAGTGAGACTCCCCTCCCCCCTTTTTTTTCAAGTTTTGGCACACATGGACGATCTCAGTCAGCTGTTTCATGTTCCTGTTCGACATAGCACCAACTCGACTGTGGGTAAATGTCTACTTGAGCCCTCCATTCGGAACTTACTTTACCTGCTATGCGCATTCAGGGTCTCCGGGTCTCCTCTCCCAGTGGGGCCACTTTTGAGTCTTCGTGACGTCATACCATATATATACTGTTAACTTATTTTATGAATGGGGGGAAAGGGGGGGGGGGCGGTAAGTAGACTACCCCCACAATGACGTTATGTCGCCAAAGCGCTCCTCTGTACTCAGACATACAACAGCCAACATTAACATTTATTTCCTTGGTTGTCCGGTTAATTCAATTTACCCTCTTTGCCCCCGAAGGACAGAATTACTGCCAGCAAGTCAGTCTACTTCGGAATAAGGCCAACAACTTGATAACTCAACGTATCTTCATCATGAAATCCCACGCCAGAGTAAAACGGGGTTGAAGCGTTTGCTTCAAATTATATAACGATCATTAAGTTTATACGTAGCTAAAGTGTGGTCTGATTTGTTTATTCTCGTGGGGCAAACAAACATATCCAAACAAACAAACAAACAAACAAACAAACAAACACACACACAAACACACACACATACACTGCGTGTAAGTTGGAACTTACCTCAATGCCCTCTCTGAACTCTTCAATGGAAATGGTCATACTTTGATCTTTGTCGAAATGTCTTAGAAGATCAATGAGTCGATAGCCCGCTCTAGCCACCCACTCCTTCAACTTTGTAAAAGGATCTGTCGATGAATTGCAAGTAGAACATACTTTGAAGAGGATATTCACATTTGAAAAAAAAATTGAAGCTTTTTTTTCGTACTGGATCTTTGTTCTTGTACTTTTTTTTCGAAGATAACTACATACTATGCAAACGAAGTACTATACACTCGGATGGGTCTTCAAGCCCCTTCTTTTGAAGTGCAGAAAATACTAGTAATACCCATACTAAGAAGATATACTGATATCAATTCCTTTATCGGTGTAACGCTGGTGTGTTTACCAGTAAGTGATGGGTCTAACGTACCTTTCAACACTATCAGGTTATTTGAGAGGCAGAGCCTCCAATATTACTTATGTTCTTGTCCAATAAGGTTTAGAGCCTTGAAAACACAACAAAACAAACCGAGTTCAAGAACACCCGATCGGGGATTCGAACCAGGTCTGTTGGATCAAAGTCCAGCCTGATACCAACTGAGCTACGATTGTGTTTATTACAATCTATCAATAACAACTGACAGCCCAAAAAGAACCGGTCAAGTTTGTTAATTACTTTACTTTGTCCGTCCTCTCGTACCTCTCTAGGGCGTCGAGGGGAGAAAGCTTCCTGTCTTTAGCAAGTTTGATAGCCTGGCTGGGTGGGATATTATTGTATTTTCTCAGGATATCCCTCACTCCCTGGATCCAGGTCTTTCTCGGTCTTCCTCTTGCCTTGTACCCTGTTAATATCCTGTAGTAGGCTTTACTGGCAAGCTGGTTAGGTGCCATACGTGTGAGATGTCCAGACCACCTGATTGTTTGCCTTCGAATGTAGTTGAGGACAGATGTTTTTCCCACCATTTCTCTGATCTCGTTGTTTCTGACCATGTCCCGTCTGGTTTTGTTGACGGCTCTCCTTAAACATCTCATCTCGCAGTTTGTTTACTCGCAATATCTTGCTCAATAGTAACACTGGAATTTCTGACAAGTGGCGTTAGTTGTCTAATGGTAAGGCTACCGGACTCGCAACGATGAGATCGCTGGTTCAGGGTTCGAGGATCAGCTCGTTTTGACTTTGTTGCTGAGAAAAGCACTTTAGACGAATTTTCCTATTTGGCTCGGCCCTTTCGGAGATGGACATTATTTCCTTTAAAAAATTGGAAATCCCGCCTCTTAACTAACCTGGGAGAGAAAGAGAGAGAGAGAGACAGACAGAGAGAGAGAGAGAGAGAGAGAGAGAC